TATAATATCATTCCAGGTCCTCAAACCTTACATCTGCAGCCTGGAGAGCAACATTGAGAGAAGGTTCCAGCATATTGAAGTGCTGGGGGCCTTCAGTGTCCTGGGTCCAAAGGCAGTTACCTCAAATGATGTAACCAACATTTCAATGTTGCAGACCCTTGCCAACAAATTCATCCCAGGGCAGGATGCCACAGTTATCCAAGAGTGGACCTCCTACAAGCAGCATGTTCTTGAAGGAACATTTAAGGTTGGTAAATATCTAAATTAATATGAACTTGACGGTTAGAATTGCTTGTTTTGACATCTGTAAATGTTTCAATTATACTGTATACTCATTTGCCCTGCCTTGGCTAATCTCTGAAGGACAAGACACAAGCTGAGATCATGCAGCTCCTGGCCAGTGAGAAGGACGAATGGGCAGAAATATACCCAAACCTCAGCCTTCTCTCTTCAGCGGGGTTGGTCATCCCTGTCTCCAGTGTAAACTGCGAGAGGGATTTTTCTACGATGAACAGGGTAAGTGTCCTTCCCTGTTGCATGTCATTCTGTATAGTTCATTTAAAAAAAACTGTCTGTTTTACAGGTGAAAACTGACATGAGAAACCGACTGAAAGGGGAGCACCTGGCTGCATGTATGCGGATAGCAGTCAGTGGACCAGCATCAGAGGCATTCCCATACACACAGGCGTTGGAGCTGTTCTTCAACAAACCCAGACGGATTAAGTGCTCTGACAACCAGTGCCATCTTTGTACAAAATGAATATTGCCATACAGTAATGTAAATTTAATGAATAAATATGTTGTTAAAACTTGTTGTTTGTCACATGTGTTGCACGTCACAAAGCCCGCCCCGCGGTCCGCTCGCACCGCGCTCCGCTCGCAGCCCCCCCCCCTGGACCCTTCCCCCCCAAGTATATTTCAGATCTGTGGGAAACAGTGCTCCATATTGTCCAGCCTTAATTGCCAAATAAGTGAAAATATGTAGAATAATGTTTTGAGTGAATTATCCCTTTTGAATCTGTTATAAACTGATTATAATACCATCGCTGCAAAAAAAAAGCACTGTGATACAAATTGTAGTTCTAAACATAGGTCCATCATTTACCTGTAAACAGTTTTGTTCTACATTTTTGAAAACGAGGGCATTGCACCAAACGCTGTTTGTTGGTCCCCGGCTGGCAGAATGAATCCTGTCAGACGATCAGCTTTGCGGCGTCATCACAAACGGACGTCGCTTCACGTGACGCTCCGGAGGAAAGGACGTCACATTGCTCTTAAAACTCATTTCCCTGCTTCTCGTGGTTTCCTTGCGTCTCTCCATGCTTCCCTGGTGGGAGGGACTAAACGCAGGGAAATGACGCAAGTGAGGGACGCAAGGATTCCATTTAACCGAAGTGAGAAGCACCCCTGTTTTCTCTTGAGTGTTTCTGATGATAGTGTTTTTGTCCCCCTACAGGCCCGAGATGTGCGCAACAGTGAGGTGGTGGCCATTAAGAAAATGTCGTACAGCGGCAAGCAGACAAACGAGGTAACACGCGAAAGAAATATAGTTTATTTTCTTAAGTAAATGTTCATCCTCTACTAATGAACCTTTCAGTTCATTAAAAAATGTCTACCTTTTTAAAATCAACCTCATGTTGTCATATTCTTCTACTTTTAATAAACGTGGGAAAAGTGAATAAATAAGTACTTCCAGATGTCTTCAATGTTTTCCTCTACCTTTTTAACAATAATCATTCTTCATTACGGTACTTTTCGACAAACAAAGATGGGTCTAATTATTGATGTTTAATATATTTATAATTTTTTAATGTATATGAAAGGTGCTCAAAAACATAAGACAAGCATCTTTTTGTATGTTCATGTTCAGAAATGGCAGGACATCATTAAAGAGGTGAAGTTCCTGCAGAAACTTCGCCACCCGAACACCATCGAGTACCGGGGCTGTTACCTGAAGGAGCACACAGCATGGGTACGTACTGATAGATGGATGGATACAGAGATAAATACAAAGTCAACGTGTCTGCTGATAATAATAGATAATGATTTCTCCTCAGCTGGTGATGGAGTACTGCCTCGGCTCGGCCTCAGACCTCCTCGAAGGTCAGTTTAACACAGCTTTTAAAGCATCATTATTTATGCGTGTTGTTTCTGTTTGTGACTCTTTGTGTCCTCTCTTCCTTTAGTTCACAAAAAGCCGCTCCAGGAAATGGAAATAGCTGCTATTACCCATGGTGCACTGCAGGGATTAGCATATCTTCACTCGCACAACATGATTCACAGGTAAAATATGTCAAATGTTTATTAAAGCTTTTTCTAACAAATTACAATATGTTGTTCTATTACATTTAATGCAACACACAAAAATGTTTTGTATTGTTTACAAGGTGTTACATTTAAAAAAAAAAAAGAAGATTTATAGATTATTTTCCGTCTCTAACAGTTAGGATAAAAATGTATTTAAATTAACATTTATAGCTTGTGAACACCCATAACCAACTCAACAGATGTTGCAAACCCCTACATCTCTAGAAATAAATAATGTAGATAATACAATGAGAGCAGCAGCAATCCATTAAAAATAAAATAAATAATTATACAACACAACATTTTTTTATTTTGATAAGGGCTGCAACTAACCATTATTTTTATCATTGATTAATCAGCAGGTTTGGTCTATAAAATATCAGTAAGTAATCTTGTTTTTTGAAAGCTTAAAGTAAAATGTTCTCGCGTTCACTAATCATTCATAGCTTGTTGATCCCTTACACTCTAAATCAGCATTAAATAATCTTGAACAACCAAAAAATCAGTCGAATCAATGGTGAAAATAAACATGTGAAACCCTTGTTTTTCAAATTGCATTCATAATAACAGTTAAGATGTGATGATAAAGGCTTTGAAATGCCTTGAAAGAGCCTGGCCATTTGTTGACTTGACCTGTTAAAAAGCAGCAGGAACAAACACTGTTAGTAAGGACAGATTCTTTGTGCAGGGATGTGAAAGCGGGGAACATCCTGCTGACAGAGCCCGGACAGGTCAAACTGGGGGACTTTGGTTCTGCTTCCATCGTGGCGCCTGCCAACTCCTTCGTAGGGACTCCCTACTGGTGAGTTCCTTCTTCTACAACACAACATTTAATCAATGAGAGGGAAGTATGGGGACATTAAGGTGCCGTTTACACAAGGACAAAACGGGTTGTATCTGCTACTTTTCTCTCGCGTATAGCCCGTTAGTTTACACGAGGCCGACGCGTAAACGGACCCAGCAAATGATAACGGGTCCCAAGGTGGATAGATCTGCAAATGGAACGCTCTAGGGCAGGGGTCTGCAACCTTTTTGACCAAAAGAGCCATTTTGCTCCTTTTTCCAAAACATTTTTTTGTCTGGAGCCGCAAAACATATTTCATAGCTTGATAGCTAATAAAGTTGTATTTATTGTTATATCAGACAAAAACTACAGTTTTTTTGCATTTATTAGGCTATTTATTACATTATATAAAACTGTTAACCTCTAATAAGAAACAAAGAACTCCTATAAGGAGAATTAAAAAATAATACACAGGCCTACTTTAAAATAAATTAAACACAGCACAGTCCTCTGCACATTTGAAGGAAAAAAAAATATTATTAAAATGGGCCCACTTTGAAATAAATAAAACATATAGCTGCACCCTAAAAAGGGTTAAAGGTAGGGTAGGTAAGAGTGGAGAAACCAGCTCGAGTGCGCTAGAATTTAAAAATACACAACCGGAAAAAATATGCCTCTTCCTTCAGACTTTCTTACAGAGTCCCTCCTCCAACACACACGA